GGGCCGAAGGCTGTGGGGGGCCGGGGACTGTGGAGGGCCGAGCGGGGCCGAGTGCTGTGGAGGGCCGAGCGGCCCGGGGCTGAGGGCTGAAGGGCGCCGGGTTGTGAGGGGCCGAGGGCTGTGGGGGGCCGGGGGCTGTGGAGGACCCAGCGGGCCGGGACGGCGTGCTGAATCACTTGCCTCTCCGGGGCACGGCGCTGAGGGAGGGCGACGCTCCGGCGCCGGACCCGCAGGCCGAGCTGGGACAGGTCTGCTCTGAGGTGGCGCCGAGGGCCCAGGCGACCCGCTCTCAGGGAAGCTGTGCCGATTGAAAACGCCTCCCGGAGCACACGCTCTCGCCGGCAAACAGCAGCCCCCTCACTGCGGGAAGGGTGGAGGTTGGCGAGCTCCCTGAGACGGCGCGTCCGTGTAGATGACTCTGGCCGGGAAGCCTTACGGTCAGGTCAGTGCCTAGAATCGCTAGGGGCAGTCCAGCCGCTAGCGCGGGTACCTTTTCTCCTCTGCTGGCAATGGCGCTGTTACTTCTACACCAGAAACAAACCCCCTTTCTCCTACTTTTGACGGGAAACCCAACTTAGGTGTGCTGGCATGGGGTTGAAAATGAAAGTAAGGGCCATCACCACAATATTTACTCCATGCACATGACGAGAAGGAAGTGATCGTTGCCCCTCTTAAGCAAGAAAATTCTGCAGTAACAGCGTGGCCGTTTTGAATGTCTATTTTGCAGGACTTTTCAGTCATAGCTCTCAAAGTTACAGGTACAGTAGGGAAGACCGGTGTCATTCCCGTAGACAGTGAGCTTCCTGTGGTAATCCTCTGTGGGATCCAAAAGAGTGGTACTGTCTACTTTTGTCTAGTTTCCTGGAGTCTAGAAAGAGCTTCATATTCACTTGAATTTGTGTGTGATTTTGCAGATCTCATTATTGACAAATACTTGATTTTTCCTGTCTGAGAAGCTTCAGTAAACGAAAATTTACATTGGCCTGCCAAGCATATCTTTTCAAACAGCCTCTTAAGGCAGTTTGTTGGTTAGCAAGACTCAGACATGCATTTTTGTTAAAAAAAAAAATTTCCCTTTGGTGACCTTAATGAACTCTTAATATTGTCTAGCTTTTATGGAGCCCTGAGAGAGCAGCATTTGAAGTAGATTTGCTGTTGTATCTGGTTTCTGTCCTTACTAACCAGTTTTTGGAAGTTAACTGGGGACATTTGTGTGGGACAGGTGCCATTTTTCTTAAAATGGAGACTATAGTTATTTTCCTTTCACTGATAGTATTTGTAGGTTGTTCTGGAAAAATCTCTGAGGAAGAGTTGGTAGTAAAGATAGGAAAAATAAGATTAACATACAAGGAATTGGCTTGGAACCTAAAAGTGGCCTTGGAGCTAAACCAGCAAGAATGCTCCAATTTTTTTTTCATTGGTGTATCGTATATACACTGTATTTTCAGGGTTTTCCCCTTAGCTCATCTTAATTCTCCCCATCCCCTCTTTTAAAAATCTCTTTAATAGTCATTTTGGGGCTGGCCCGTGGCTCACTCGGGAGAGTGTGGTGCTGATAACACCAAGGCCCCGGGTTCGGATCCCATATGGGGGTGGCCGGTTCGCTCACTGGCTGAGCGTGGTGCTGACAACACCAAGTCAAGGGTTAAGATCCCCTTACCGGTCATCTTTTAAAAAAAAAAAAAAAAAAAAAAAAA